ACCTCACAGGGTGTCTGTTGTGGGGAGAGGAAGGGAAAGGAGTTTGTAAGCCGCTCTGAGACTCCAAGAGAACGGTGGGGTATAAATCCAATCTCTTATTATTATTATTATTTATTATTTTGTGACGTCAGTGCCCCCTGACTTATTTAAAGGCCCCCCGGATGACAAAATCCTGGCTACGACCCTGGACTATTGTACTTAGCTATTATAATAATGAGAGATACAGATGCTCCCAGAGAAATAATTGCAGACGAGTTATCCCGGAGGAGATCAGGGCCCTGCGGGACCTTATGCAGTTCTGCAGGACCTGTAAGACGGAGCTCTTCCGCCAGGCTTTTATATAGGGGCCGCCACCACCACTATCACCACCACCACCACTGTTAATGGTGGGGATAACAACGGGATCAAGGGTTGCCCTCGGAAGTTCTGCCATAAATGTGCATGGCACTGACATTGCTGGATCGGCTTGAACTATCTATAGGACAATATCACCCCAGGGAAATGATTGACACCATCATGAGATCTAAGGAAATGACTGATACCATCATGAAACTATCCAAAGACCATCTTGTTTACATAAAGCACTTTATTATTGTTACTGTTATTGCTTTATTTTTGACTAGCAGTAAAGCCCGTTGTGAAAGCAATACAACGAGATCTAGAAAGAGGCTCTGGGGGAGTGCTCTGGCTTTGGGCAAACAGTGTCAATTTGCTGTGGTGACCTCAGCAGGGTATAATGACAGAGTCCACTGTTTTCTCCAGAGGAACTGATCTCTGCTACCTGAAGAGCAGTTGTAATTGTGAGTGATCTGTAGCCCTCACCTGGAGATTGGCAACAATTGTTACCCAGGACAAAATGGCTGGTTTGGAGGGTGGAGTTGGCAACCCCATCTCCTTCCCAGCTAACCATCAACCTACCATTATCTGCCCCTTTGACTTCAGCTGACTTCTGCCCTCCCTTCTGCAGAGCAGTTGTAATTCTGAGTGCTCTCCACCCCTCACCTGGAGATTGGCAACAATGGTTCCCTATGTGGGACTGACTGGTTTGGAGGGTGGAGTCTATGGCAGTGTACCTGTCTGAGGTCCCACCCCTCCTCAAACCTCACCCTCTTCAGGCTCCATCCCTCAAATCTCCAGGAATTTCCCATCTGGAGTTGGCAACCCTATCAGGACTGGCCCCAATGTGTTTTCTCCCAAAGGCCAAAGTAGGTGACAGGACCAAGCTTAGTTGCCTACCAACAGGCACTGAGGGGAATGTAGGGTTGCCAGCTCTAAGGAGGGAAATACCTGGAGGTTTGGGGGGTGGAGTCTGTAGAGGGCAGCATTGGGCGGGGGGGCGGAAAGACTCAGCAGGTATACCCCTCCCCCACCACCCACTCCCAACAGGCACTGAGGGGAATGTAGGGTTGCCAGCTCTAAGGAGGGAAATACCTGGAGGTTTGGGGGGTGGATTCTGTAGAGGGCAGCATTGGGCGGGGGGGGGGCGGAAGGACTCAGCAGGTGTAATGTCATAGGGTCTACCCTCCAAAGCATCCATTTTCTCCAGGGGAACTGATCTCTGTCATCTGGAGATCAATTGTAACAGTGGGAGATCTCCAGGTCCCACCTGGAGATTGGCAACCCTAGGGGAAAGTCAGCTGCACAGCAGGGGGTTGAAGAGAATGGTTTGATGGCTGCTGGGCCAAGATTGGCAACAATAGTTCCCCAGGAGCCCCATCGTAAATGCACCAAACAATTCCTCAAGATTTTCCAAAACACTACTCTGTTTTGGGCTCCTGGGGAACTTTGAAGTAGCACCAAAGCTTTAAGATCTCTCCAGCTGTCACCTGGAGACTGGCAACAGCTTGTCTGGAGTGTGGGCAGTATGGCATTGTATCTGTCTGAGGTCCCCCTCTTCCTCCTCCTCCTCAGACCCCACCCTCAGCAGGCTTCATCCCTAAAATATCCTGGAAGTTTCCAACCTGGAGTTGGCAACCCTATGTCCTTTCCTGGCAACCATCAGCCAACCTTTATCTGCCTGTCTGTCTTAAGTTTTACAACCCACCCCCCCCAGCCTCTGCCTAGGGAAAGGGCAGCTGACATCATTATCCTCTCCCCTATGAGGTATGTTATGCAACTGAAAATTCCAACTGCCTTGCGGGGGGGGGGAGTTTGAGGTGTGGAATGGAGTGAAGTCCAATCAGCTTCCACATGCAAAAGACCTTGAAACGCTGGGCGGGACTGCACAAAGCAGCCAGTCAACCCAGCCAGCGTCTTCTGAGTGGCAGTTCTTCCGGCCAAACACTAAAGGGGCCAAATTTAGAATGTTCAATATAGAACGTTGCTATTCAATTATAATAAGGGAGAGATTTTACGGTTTTATGTGGTTTTATGCACGGGCTTATGCCCCTCGTAAGCCGCCCTGAGCCCGCTTGTGGGGAGGGCGGGGTAAAAATGTCAAAATGATATTTTTTAAAAAAATCTGAAATATGGGTGGGCTGCCCCATTTTCCCTGAATGATCCCCCCAATTTGACTTCCTTTCTTACACCAGATTCCAGATCCTCCAGTGAATGTCTGTGAGGAGAAGGTGATAATCAGAATGCTGACTGTCTCCTGGGAATCAGAGTTCTGACCTGTCCAAAAGACTGGGCTGCAAAAGGGGTCTCAGTATCATGGGGCTGTCAGGTCATGCTGTGCCCCCAGACTTAAGCAAAGGAGACCACAGTTGATTCAAAATGTCATTTGTCCACCAGTTTTGAATGCCCCCTTGGCTATTGAAATACTCATTTTTTTCTATAATTCTCTTAGTAATATTCTTAATGTCTATTGATGTTTGAGGTAATATAACTATTGGTCCCATTTGTATTTGTACTGTTTTCCTTATGAGTTTGCTTTTCAGGGTTGCTCTAGGAACCCTAGAGATCGGTCCTAGATCCTCCTTCTCCCCCCCCCCATTTATTTCAACTAAGACCTACTATTATATGTTCATGTATTATATGTTCACGTATTATATGTTCATCTTCTGGGCCTGGAACAGGGGTCACTGGGGCTGTGGAGGGGGAGGTATTTGTGAATCTCCTGTATTGTGCAGGGGGTTGGACTAGATGACCCTGGAGGTCCCTTCCAACTCTATGATTCTAAGCATCACATTTATGTGGATAATCTACAGCTGCATGTTCCAGTTCAAGATCTTCTGCTTCATTGTCCAATATCAGCTCTTATCCTTTTAAACCTTTTGATTTGGCTTTCTTTTCATTTTCTTCTCTGCCCTCTTGGCACTCTGGCCATTCTTCCTTCATTTTCTTTGCTTTGCAGTTCTCCTACATTCCTTTCCTATGCCCGGGTGGATAACCTTAGCATTGTGCTTGATTCTTCCCTCCTTTTTTGATTCCTTTATCCATGATACAGACTCTAACAGCTTTTAAACATCTTTAAATGTTGGCCTTCCTTGACTGTCCCTCTAGTTAACACTCTGATCATCTCTTTATCTTGGTTACTGAATTTCTTTCTGATTTCTCAGGTCCACTGGCTTGCATCTACTTTACATTCCGCTCCTGTCTTGTGTATTCTTCCCCCCTGACTATATATCCCCTTTGTTTACTTACTCATCACTAGTTTCATGTGAACACACAAAGCTGCCAAACACTGAGTCAGTCCGTTGGCCTTTCAAGGTCAGTATAATCTACTCTGACTGGCAGCCGCTCCCCATGGCCATAGGTGGAGGTCATTGACGACTTCCTTACCCAATCATTTTAACTGTAGACGCCAAGAATCGAACCTGGAACCTTCTAAATGCAACTGACCTATATCCCTCCTCTTATTGCAGATCACTGGAGCCCTCTGGCATATCCCCCCCCTTGGAATTCCACCAGAACAGCATAGTGGGGGTCTGTAGAGGGAGGGAAGAATTGGCAGAAATGCCACCCCTGCCTTAAGAAAACACAAGTGCCATTCAGTCTGTAGCCGAATACTGGTCAGTTACTGATTTACTGTACATAAATTCATCATAGGTTTAGATACTCTGTGGCTGTGGTCACACGGAAAAATAGCCACACTAGAAAGACGGAAGATAGGCGGATTTTCCGGCCGCGATCTCACCACCACATCTGGGAAGCGTAGAGCTCCCATGGCTCACCCAGGTTTCCCGCCGAAGATGCGGGATAAAAAAATAGTACCTCCAAGGTACTAGTTTCTGGTAACCACGGGGAAAGGGCGAGCATCTGATCGCGTTTCCGGTGGCATCCGGTGCCCGCCCATATCCCCTTGCAAAAAGGGTTTTTTTCCCCAAGTCTCCATGGATGTGCACAAACACCCAACGGAGCATGCACATACTTTGGTGTACAGAAAAAAAACAAACCCATTTGCCACACCGCGCTGCTTCTTTGCCACGCCGCAGGACTGTCCTGTGATCGGCACCTCCCCCCTACCCACAGGACCTCCACGGGACCTCCACAGAACCTCCACGAGATGTCTGATTGCGCAACTGCGCGTTATTTTGCCCCGGGGCAAACAGCCACGCCTCCCCCCCGGCGATATCCGGCCCATGTAACAGGGGCCTCTATTTTTGCAATTATACTTTAATGTGTTAATGGAAACATTGGTGTCTTTTTCCAAGGACTTGATTTGTAAGTTGACGTGCTTAACAGACATATTCATATGTTGCTGTCATCTATTTAATCATTCCATTGGTGCATCTAATCCAGTAGTGTCTACTCCAGGTGGCTTTTAAGGATCTCTCTCATGGTCGTAGGGATTCTTCTCAGTTCTGCTTCTTGAGATCCTTTAACCAGAGATGCCAGAGACTGAACATGAAGTCCAGATCTTTTAACAGGCGATGCCCTTGAACTTGTTTAAGCATCAATTAAACCAGGGGAGACCTTCCGCAGGCAAAGCATGCGCTCTGACGCTGAGTTCGCTCCCCTTCCGCAGTGTAGATTTCACTGGGCAATTAATTGAGCTCACTGTTAGATGTAAAGCATGCATAAAGTTTTAACTCTTTTTTTTTGGCTTTCCTTTTTAGATATCTGATTGATCACCATACAGAAGAAGATACATATTTCACCATTGAAGCCGCCACTGGAACCCTTAAGACCGCCAAGGTTTTTGACAGGGAAGAAGTCTCTTGGTACAATATCACAGTCACCGCTTCTGAAATTGGTAGGCAGTCACAAGATTAAGAGTCCGTATGTTCTCGCAGGCAAAGGAAATGATCTCTTGGTGGGGAATCAGGCATTTTATTTTTCTGTTTGGTCCAGAGCCATTTCTTTAATCCTGGGAGTTTTTAGTACAAGAAGAGTTTGGCGAGCACGTCTGTTGCTGGGGTCAGGTTATGTTTGAAAGAACAAGGCAGGTGTACTTCTGCTGCTGCTTCTCCAGGGCAAAATTCAGTAATGCAAAACGCATTGCTTCCCACTGTATTGCAACCCTGGACGTACTTGAGGGTCACCTATCCAAACCGGGGCCAACCCTGCTTAGCTTCTGTTTTCTCAGAAGATTGGGCTGGCCTGGACTATCCAGGTCAGGGTTTACTATATTGTTACACATAAAAGAAGAAGGCGGCTGCTTTCAGCTGCCACCATGCATCATATAAGCAATATAGGCCTGGTCTTTGGAAAAACCTAGCAAAAATAATTTGAAGACAAAAAAAAAAGTTAGCCATATTGGTCCAAGACAAAAGCCATATAATACCTTTAGTAAGAGCAACCATCATTACACAAAACACAGTTTTCCAGAATTATTCATCAGGTTGGATGTTAAAATATCCCCTTTTTATTTATTTATTTTCTTTTGGTTTCTTTCTTCTTCTTTTTTAACGTCCAGCTGGATAAAGAGTTCTGGACAACTGAAAAGTTTGTGTACTGTGGAAGCAATCCTAAGCAGGTCTCCTTGGAATGAAGTCCCATTGGGTTCATGGTCATTTTACTCCCAGGAAGAAGAAGAAGAGATTGGATTTATACCCGCCCTTCACTACCCAAAAGGTGTCTCAGAGCGGCTTACAAACTCCTTTCCCTTCCCCTCCCCACAACAGACACCCTGTGAGGTGGGTGGGGCTGAGAGAGCTCTTGACAGAAACTGCTCTTTTTCAAGAACAGCTGTTATCAGAGCAAGGCTTGCCCAAGGACATCCAGCCAGGTGCAAGTGGAGGAGTGGGGAATCAAACTCAGTTCTCCCAGGTTAGAGTCCACGCACTTAACCACTACACCAAACTGGCTCTCTTAGAATCTCTTCTCTTAGAAGGTTTTCTTAGAATCATAGTCTGAGTCATGTTGTGTTGTTTATCTTTAAAGAGATTTCATGGCTTTTCTTTCTGACCATTCGTTCAGCTTGGAAGAGTTATAATTGGGGAGAAGTGGACTCTGACAGCCATGGTTATCTGTGTCATTTTCTCAGGGAAGGAATTGCTAAGGGGAAATGGGTGAAATATGATGGAGAGTACTTCATTGTGTTGCTGTGTATATATGCAAGAAAATGTTTTTAAGCAATATGCTCATTTTGAAAGGCATTCTGTTAAACAAAACTTCTTCCTGAAATGTTGAAGAGTTGGGATTAAATTTTGCTTGACCTCCATCCCTGACATTTAGTGGTTGGCTCTGCCTGATGCGGCAGCCAGTTTGTAGTTGGGTCCACCAGCAGCCACCACCATTTTTTAACTGCCCCCACTGCCTTGTGTCAAGATTCCAAAGTTGCCCACAGGCTCAAATGGTTGGGGACCCTTTTTTTACATTTTTACAACACTTTTTCACAAAGCTCTTCATGTCCTAGCAATCTGTAGGACAACCTTGTGAAGTAAGTCAATATTATTAGTCCATTATTGCAGCTGGGGTCCAGAGACAGTGCCTTGTAAGTTCATGACTGAGGCAAAATTTGAACCGCAGAGGTTTTCGCATCTTCCATCCTTAACCCTCACACTGCAGCAGCTCATAGAGTTTGCCTTTATTACAAGGAAGATGACATTTGAAAGCACATTCGCTAAACTAAAGATTAAGGCCCATCTACTATTTTTGGAGGCTTCTGTTAATAACCTGTGAAATTAAATGTCAAAAGCTTCTTTAAAATTTTATAAGGCCACTTAGCAATCAGAATAAGTAAGATGGAGACACGGAGAATAAATTGTCTGAGATCTACTTTGTCCTGTCAGTAATTCAGAATCGGTGTGCGTTTCTTCCTCTCCCCTACATTTTCCCACACATAAATATTACCTTCACTCGGTTGACTGTTCCATGAAATGGACTGAGGAAGCAGTGGCGCAATGACCATGGGGTGCAATTTATTTAGCTCGTAAATAGCAAAATGGAGGAATGTCATTAATTTGAAGCGAAAGCGATGGCGAACCTCAACAGCATGATAAAAAGTAGTGACATCACCCTGCCGACAAAAGTCCGCATGGTCAAAGCAATGGTATTCCCAGTAGTCACGTATGGCTGCGTGAGTTGGACTATAAGGAAGGCCGAGCGCCGAAGAATAGATTCTTTTGAACTATGGTGCTGGAGAAGACTCTTGAGAGTCCCTTGGACTGCAAGGAGATCAAATCAGTCAATCCTAAAAGAAATCAACCCTGACTGTTCCCTGGAAGGCCAGATAATGAAACTGAAGCTCAAATACTTTGGCCACCCAATGAGAAGGGAGCACTCCCTGGAGAAGACCCTGATGCTGGGAAAGATTGAAGGTCAAAGAAGATGGGGACGGCAAAGGATGAGATGGTTAGACAGTGTCATCGATGCAACGAACATGAAATTGAGCAAACTTCAGAGGACAGCGGAAGACAGGAAGGCCTGGCGTGATGTGGTCCATAGGGTCACGAAGAGTCGGACTCGACTGTGCAACTGAACAACAACAACAACAGACCTTGCTATGTGCACTTAGAAATGACAAAATGTATTTTAATCCTAGGCAGAAAGTGCTTGTTCTCTGTTTTGTTCAGCAAGGGTAGGAGCCAGTTTGTGGTAGTAGAATGTTGGATTCCAATGTGAGAAACTGAGACAGAAGCTCAGTATACCATTTGGGCCCTTTTCATTTGTTACATTATACCATGTGTATGGAGATAACGTGCCACATGCAATCCACCCAATAGGTGTGATCACCATTATTTTTTTTCTGAAAGGGACAATGGGGTGTATTTTCCACCTTGCATTCTGGTACACGAGTACCAAAGCTGAAAATGCACACTTTGCCCCTTTCAGGCAAAGTGCTTATTCATTTTCTTTTATTTAAAACGGCAATGACATATATCAGGAGGATAAAATGTAACCCATTCTTCTCATATACATGGTAAAATGCAATGACTAAAAAAGGTTTCCAAACTGGTTTACAAATAGCAGAAGTGACAAATATGTAACCAGGACATTTATTTTTGTTTATCAATTAGATTTGGATCCCACTGTGTTCCTCATTTTCTTTTATTTAAAATGGCAATGACATATATCAGGAGGATAAAATGTAACCCATTCTTCTCTTATACATGGTAAAATGCAATGACTAAAAAAGGTTTCCAAACTGGTTTACAAATAGCAGTAGTGACAAATATGTAACCAGGACATTTATTTTTGTTTATCAATTAGATTTGGATCCCACCGTGTTGTGTGGACTAAGGATGGCTTGCAGTACTTTTGTTCCCGAAGGCAAACCTTTATGCCCCCAACAGGCTCACAAACTTTTAAAATGGATTTGAGAGTAAAATGGGCAAAATGGATATGGCGATCTCATCCTCTTCCCTCCCTCACTCACAGAATGTTCCCTTTTTTTCTTCTTCTTTCTTGCTGAGCAGCCCCTATATCTATTTTCTTTGTATTTGTTGGTCTATGGCTGTCCCACCCTGTCACATCTATATATTTAATTCTCAACAGTCCCCTCTGCCTGCGGATACTTATTTCCGCAATCAAAGGGTGCACACTCCCCCAACAGGTTTTTCTACAGACTGAGGGGACTCCATGGGTCTGCAGAAAAATCCAAAAACTTTAAAAAAATCAGTGAGGGTTGAATTCTCTCCAATACCTTTTGAAATGGCCGCCAGAGAGATAGCCAGAGAGACAGAGACAGACAATGAGTGGGGGAAGAGGGGAGGAAGTAAAAGAAGAACTGGAGCTGAAAATGAGGAGGATTCCTCCTTCAGTATGAATGGCTAAATAGCAGGGGGACATTTTAAAAGGACATCTGAGCTTCTCACCCCTACCTCTTTTGCTGTGAGTTCCCCTGTCCTCTTTAAACTTTCTTTAGGGGAAGCTTCAAACTGCTTCTCTCCCTCCACCAGCTTGAGAAAGACTGACTGGCTGAGAGTGAGATAGAGAGACAGAGAGAGATAATGGTTGAGGGAAGAGGGGAGGAAACAACAGCAGAACTGGAGCTGGGATTGGGGAGGATTCCTTGTTGCCACTTGCCCATCTCCTATTCTGTTTTCCCTGCAGTATGAATGGCTAAATAGCAGGGGGAAGTTTTAAAAGGACATCTGAACCTGCATCTGCAAAGCCTTGCAAGCAGGAGAGAAGGATCATTCTCACCCCAGTCTCTGCAAATGCGGGCTCTGCTGTCCTTGAAAACCATTCTCTCCAGCTTCTAAGTGCTTCCCCCACCACCAGCAGCCTGGACATTACGTCTTCCCACTGCTTCTTTCTTATGACTGACTAGAAGCCAGAGGGAAGTTAATAGAAGGACAGCTGAGGTGTCATTAATGGATGGGTGGGCACAGTGACTGAGAGGTAGGAAGCAGGTGTAGAGGAGGCAGGATTTCCTCCAACAGTGACAGTTTGTACACACCACCTTTTAAAACATACCTTAGCAAACCTGACAGGCAAATAAACTGTCAAAGACAGCTGTGGTGCTGTGGGTGAATGTGGACTCATCTTAGGCTGAAGAAGACTGGGGCCCTGCAACCACACAATTCTCCATGGCAAGGCGAGAGACTGAACAAGCAAAGGTGCCTCAGGCTAATATATGGATAAACCAAAGGCCATTTAAGCAGCTGCTTTTGGCAAGGGTACTCAGAAGGAGAGTGGTACAGGACACCTGTAGCATCTCAAGACCTGTAGTACCCAGTAAGGCAATTTTTGAAATCTCACCTCACAAAAATAAAATGATTATAATTCCCAGGCAAACTCCTCTTTGAAAACTCCTCTTTGAAGCCAGCTTCAGTCGGCTGGCTGACTATGCACAAGGAAACTAAG